TGCCGCTTCGAGGGCTAGGTGTTTGTGGGCCGGAGTGCAGACGTCTTTTGGGCCCAAGTTGCCGTAGGGTTGGGTTGATGGTTCGCCGTCGAACATTCCGAGCCTCATTTGGACTGCTAATAAGTTAGACAAGGCGTTGTTTACGTCGGCCTCCTTTAGCAACCCTTTGCCTACGGCGCTCGCCGAATGCACCGCCAAGAATGGTCCACAATCCAAGTCCAAGCCTACACACAAGTTGTGGAGCCAGTAATAATTGGGGCTGCCTTATAAATTTAGTGCTGAATCAAGGATTACGTCTAATAAATGATTTTTTCCCTTCAAATTGTCTATTACATATAAAATTAAGAGTATAGTATTGACATTAGACTCTAATCCAGAGACCATGAGTTAATTTAATTTGCTAATAAGAGTTTAATATCACGTTGGAATTGGTACTTACCAGCTTTGATGGTGGAAGCAGCGGCTTCTTCGGGCGTGGAGGTGAAATGCTGGTTATCATACAACACTCCAACAGAATCGCAATCCGACACTATATACCTGTTTCAAAATTAAATATTAATCATCAAAGTTCATTGAAATCGTGTGTGATGATGTGCAGAATAATTCCATGGGGACTCACCCATCAAGCCCCCACGTGCCCCGGATGGTGTTCTTTAGCAGATCAGGGTCAGCGCACGTGGGCTTTCCGTTGACCTGATTGTAAGAACACATCACGCTCGCCACCTTCCCTTCCACCACACACGCCTTGAACGGCACGTTATACGTGTCCTCCAAATCCTGCTTACTCACCTGCCCAATCCCAGAAAAAAGCCCATCAGTATTTGGGCTTCGGGCCCAAAATTTCAAAAGCCCAAACGTTACCTTGGCATTGAAATGGTAACGGTCCACGCCATTCCAATTGTCGAGATCATAGGCAGTGTAATGCTTACAGCAAGCGGCCACCTTCAGCCTGTTTCCCTGCCCGTTGCCCTGCAGCCCCCGAACGTATGCGGCAGCGTATTTTCCGGCCAAGATAGGGTCTTCGCCGGGAGTTTCCTGACCACGTCCCCACCGCGGATCTCGGAATATGTTCACGTTTGGGCTCCAATATGTCAAACCCGCCGTTCCTCCATTGTACATGGCTCTCGCCTCGTCTGAAACCACCTACACGTCAACATTGTGCATCAAATTTCATTACAAATTTCATAGTGTATTATTGAAACTGTTTATTGTATGTATCAATTCAAAATTATAGTTTATTGATAATTTCTCCACTTGTCCATGGCGGCTATTGAATGTTAGTTGGCAAGGGCTAGAAGGCCTATTGACGGCTCAATGCATTCCCCATTTGGGCCATTTCAATTGAGAGGCGAAAATTTGTGGATCAAAATATTGGATTTTTCTTCCTTTTTTTGTATTGATTTAAATTGGGAAAATTTAAAGAATTTTAATTTTGTCTACGTGTTTTAGTTTTTTTTTATATATATTAGGGCAAATTATGTCGTTATCTTTAGTTAATAAATACAAATATAGCATTGAAATTTGAGGTTAACAAATTTAAAAGTAGACAAAACGGAAATAAAGTAAATTTAACTTTAACCCCACAATTTTTTTTCCCACGTGAAATGGAACACGCAAGTTGTTTGACAGCAAGGCAGAGTCCAGTTCTGCTGTTCTGATCAGTCAATATTATTTATTAAATTGAATAATGAATGAATTCTTTAATTTTTGTGGAGAAAGAAAAATAAATATGCTGGGAAAACAAGTCGATCTGCTGCACCAGCCGGCAGGCGGGACCACTGAATGGACCCCAAATTCATATTTTCATGCGTATCAAACTGTACTTTCTGAATTATGTGACCCATTTTCTATGTATTGGAGGCTTCTGCCCCTAGCATTTGTCTTCTCCCTGATGGAGATTCGAATTTTAATTTTAAAATATATTTAAAAATTTGTATAATTTAAACACAAGAATTTATTATTGTTTTACTGTTTAAAAGATGATAATATAGAGTATAGACAACTGTTTTACTATTTACACCCTCAAAAGCGCTCTCTTTACACCTACTACAGACGAGATAATTTTATAGTTGTCAATTTTAAAATAACTTTATTTAAATGTTTTATATTTTTAGATCAATATATAAAAAAAAAATATCCCTTCTCGTAGTTTTCATATTAAAAGGAATAAAAAAAGACATTAAGACTTAGAGTTGGACTTCAGAATAACTTTAAGAAATCACACTCAAAGATCACTTCAGCATCCAGACAAAAATTACTCTCCCACACAAAAGTTAAGAGGGCAAGTTGGTAACTTAACGTTACAAAATTTCAATTATAGACTTGTTTTGGAAATTACCTATCACGAGTAGATGCATGGAAAAAAGAAGAAAAACAACAAAAATAAAGAGGAGAAATCTCATCAAATTGCATTAAATCAACAAAAAATGCTAAAACTTTTCATTTTTTCCAACACAAGTATAACTTTTCTTATTATATTTCACATTACATTTGAATTTAAGTTTGATATAGCTATTTTTTTCAAACTTCGAAGCGTTTTGCTAAATTTTAAAAAATATATTTATTCGAGAGGCATTTAAATAAATAATATAGAATAAACATGTATTTTCAGATATATCAGAAA